AAGAAAACATAAAAGACAAACAATTTAGAAATAATAAAGCAATGAACGCACATGCATAAAACAGCTAAAATTAAAACTCAAAACCAAATAATACAAATGAAACATCTAAAGTGTATAAACAATGGCAAAAATAGTGTGGGGTAACTGTGACTCACCAATGCGTGCCTGAGCGAAGGCCTCTGCCAGGGCGGAGGGCTGGGAGTGGGAGTGGGGCGGGTGGGCAAGTGCGGGTGGAGGCGGGACCTGCTGAGACTGAGGCTGAGGAGCCTGGGTGGGCCGAGACTCCCCATGGGAGAGAGTGGAGGAGGCAGAGGACGAGGTGGAGGAGCCGTGCAGAGAGCTATTAATCCAGGTGTCTGGAGACTGCTGAGGCCCTGCACTTTCACTCGACACGGCCTCATCATCAGAGGAAGAGGAGGAATCTGGCAGAGAGAGCAAGAGAAAGACAAGAGAAAATAAATTAAAAGACAAGGAAGAGAATGACAGAATAAGTATAAGAAAAATAATGCTAAGAACTATTTAAGCCTTTTTTTTTACAATTATTTTTTTCTGAGAATAGTAAATGTGGCTGCCACAATAACAAAATGTTAATACTAGTTCTGTCAAACGATTAATCGCGATTAATTGTTTGACAGCACTAGTTAATGCCAGTAAAATTTCATAATTATTGCTACAAATTTTAACACCACAGCAAAAACAAAAGTTATGCTAAACATACTGTATTTTTTAAATACATTAATAGATAATAAATATATATTTATAATAAATAGATTCATATATAATAATACTAATAAATTATTTTAATTTACTTTTTTACTTTTTAATTCGTTTTAGGTTTATTCCTTAATATTCATATGTATTATAAATCTATATTAATATTAACAAATTAAATTAACTCTAATTACATGTTAAAATAAAAAGTACCTTAAATTAAAACTATTTATAAGATTAGACATAAAAATAATTTAATTTAAAAGTAGTAAATGACTAAATGTTCGAAATTGAAAAATACAACATAAAATACGAATTGTATAACTGATCTAACTCATATAATATTCACTACATGATTATTATATAAAATACATAAGGATCAGGATTTAAAGCTCTCAGTTTCACTGAGAAATACCGTTACTTTTGCTATTTTAAACAGGAAAAGTGTAAGATCCTGATTAGCTATACTATTAACTATATAATGATATGTCCTTACTATATGTGGTATGGTTCTGTAAGTTCTTCTCTAGCTCTCTAGTATATTATTGTAATGGTTTATTTGTGCTTGCATATATTACCTGGTGGGGTGCAGTTGTCAATTGGTGACTGTACATATGCAGACCGACGCTTGGTTGGCATGGGCAGTGCCATCTTTTCCTCTTTATGCTTGGCCAACGCTGCCTGAACTGCCTCAGTGTGGATATCTGAGACAAAAAGAAAAAGAAAAAACTAGCTACAGGCCGTTTTTTTTTTTCTTGGGCCTCTGCACTTAGTGAGATGTTAGCAGATGTTTGGTTTTATCCAAGGTGACAGGTACAATCAACCTTGAACATCCTGGGGTTAAATGCTTTGCTCCAGAGTACAAGACTAATTGGAATCTCATTAACTTACTTTCTGTACCTTGATATAAATCAGAAACTTTTGTATATCAGCAAAGTTTCTAAACCAACAGCAGTCGCCCATCAGAGTTTTGGTAATGCCTACATAACAAGGCCCTCAACATAAATTATGCAGTGAAATCAGCTGATTGAATCCACAGAACCGATGAAACTGCTTTCTGACAACAATAGGACAGTAAAATTTATAATCACATCTGTGGCCAGCAACTGAACAAGCAACCTACAATCAAATAAGCAAGCTGCCATCTTTCAATTGCCATAAAGCACCAGAAATCCAAAGTGACACATTTCATCTAGGCAACCATTTTGTCCAAGTATGACTGCCATGGCAGATGACTAAACAGTTCTTACAAGGATGTGGTCAGAGAACAGGCAAATATTACCATCTGCAGACTCTCTGTAAACCTCACAACCCATAAATCTTAAGTAAAGATCAGTCTATGCACGGCTTGCAAATTGGAGTTCTATGTTTTAAAGGTGAAGTGTGTCATTTGTTCAATGTTGAAATACTTTTTAATGTGCAGAGATCACTATAAGTAACCCATATAAGTAAGTTTATAAGTAAGCCGAGCTGTATATCATTACACCGCCATACATCATATTTGCTGAATGAAATATAATACTACTTTCATTCTCATTTTGCAATGCTGCTTCCAAAAAATGCTGCCTGTTTTGCTCTAGCATGTCATACTTTCTCACAAAATATGATGCATTTTGTAGCTCTTTGTTTTCAACAACCATGTTAAGGAAATCTTGTTATGAACTTGTGCTTATGTAAAGTTCTTTGACATTAAATGAAATACTTGAACATATTTTTCCACTCCTTTGCAGATTGTAAGATGCAATGTGATATATTTTGAATACTTCTATTTGTCAGTAAAACGTTTGAATTTTGACTACATATTCTTGTTTTGTGAAAAAAGTACTTAATGGAAAGATTTTTTAGATATATTTTTGAACTCAACATCAAATAAGCAGAATGTTTTTTTCCAAGATAAAGGGCTGTGTTATTTTTGACGTTAGAGGCAAAACATTTATCAGCCCCTATTACGGCTGATAAAATGAATAGTTTTTTTGTCCAGTGGTGCTAAAGGCAAAAACATCACCTTTGAATTTACACAAGACTCACACTATACTGGCTGATAAAATGAAAATGAAATAGAAAATGATTTGTATGTTGTCAGGTTGTTCTAACCTGATCTGTAGCGTTCATCTCTCGTCCCACCGCTCCGGTGTGGACGCCGCGTGTGCCGGTGGCGAGAAGAGGAGGAGGATAAAAAAAAAAAAACATTTAAATAAAGCTGAAATAAAATAAAATATAAATATTAGAAATCTATGTTAAATATTCATTAACATTATGTCTACTAACATAAAATTAAGTTTTAAATTCAAATAAAAATAAAGTAAGGCTAAATGAATTTTTTTTAAAATAAAATAATAAAAATGATAAAACCATATAACAAAATTACTAAAACAAAAATTAAAATGAAAACTGAAAATAGAAAAATAAAATGTAATTTATTAGATCAATAAATACTATAGTAGCATATAAATAATTCTAAAATAAGTGCACAAAAAAAAAAAGTATGCACACATCTAAATTATATTAATATTTTATTACTAATAAATTATTATATTATTAAGCTATATTTATTTTACCCGGTCTCCTGGTTTGAGGATCTGCTCATTTTTGGTTCCCAGCTTGTTGAGGAGAGTGTAGGCCAGCTTTACACTACGACTCCACAGTTTCCCTGTCAATCACACACCAATCACTCAGTTTTTAAAGCCCTTACACCTTTCTTGGCAATTCCAGCATCTGCTTTCAATCAAGGTAAGTGTTTTGCAGGCGACCTTGCTCAGTCTTACCATACGTAAGCGTATAAAGTGGTTTTCCTGTGATATCCAGAGCTGTGAGGGCGGGGCTCTTGCCTTGTGTGGCACCCCATCGAGCTAATGCTGCCTGAAGAGCAGGAGGCCAGTTACTGACCACTCCCAACGGCTCCCCCTTCACCGGGATTATCTGCCGGCCTTCTGGCTTCGGGGCGTTAGGATCTACCTGAGGAACTGTGGAAGAAGAAATACGCTGATCCACATTACTGCAGCTTTCTTACCAAGTGTGTTTGATGTTTTTTTAATTCATTCACGTACCTTCTACAATCTCCTCTTGGTCATCCATGAAGAACTCACTGAGTGGTGGGCGTTTGGGTCGTTTTAGCGTGTTTAGCAGCTGCTGAATCTTTGTGGATACACGACTGGACACTGGAACACCTACACCAGGATTGGGGTCAGGCAGGGTGGGATGAGACAGACGAACAAACACACACTCACGCGTGCTTTCAACTGACCTGGGAATACTAATGTATATATACATCTATTACACTCTCCTGAACTGTGGTATCATCAGTTCTGGTCCAAAGATGCCAAGATACACAATGACTTACAGATCAAATTAAATATCTGTACAAAATCAATATATGTAAAATTATATACACCACTGTTCCAAAGTTTGGGTTCAGTAAAATTTTTATTGAATTCTGATAATAAAGAGTTTTACTGTGATACAAAAAAAAACTATTTTAAATTAAATTAAAAAAAAAGTCAAATCAGAATATTAGAATGATTTCTGAAGGATCATGCGACACTAAAGACTGGAGTAATGACTGCTGAAAATTCAGCTTTGTCATCACAGGAATAAATTACATTGTATAATACTGTATATAAAAAAATAGAAAACAGTCATTTTCAATTGTACTAATATTTCACAATATCACTGTTTTACTGTATATTTTTTCAAATAAGTTCAAACTTGGTGAGCATAAGAAACTTTAAAACATTCAAATAAATCTTTGCTAAAACAAAACTTTTGAACGGTAGTGTATTCTTACATTTTTACTGTGATATTTTTGTATTTTTCTATATAAAAATATTAAAGGACTTTGTAATATAGTACAAAAGTTGAAAGAAATTATTTTATGATTCATTTATGGGGATTTTTTGGGTGAGTAAATACTGGAAGAATTTACACTATTTCTTTAAATATCATACTAGTTCACTTGCAAAGCAGCCTTGATGTGTTGTGAAAGATCAGGACTGAGTAAAACCACATGTAAGCAGAGAAGCAGGGATGACTTATCTACTATTGTTTATATTTTCCTAAAGAAGTGCAGGGTTTCACTTGGGTTCACATTTCCTCTGTGTAACATACAGTATATATAGTACACAAGCACAAACACACAGTTTTAAAGTCAGCCAGGACATGTCTATGACCAATTATTACCTCTGCCTACTCTTCTCACTGACAGAGAAAAGCAACATGACACAAGTGGATAAAAGGTGGAAAAGAAAAAAGAAACGGGATGTGATTAATGAAGCAATCAAACACAGCATTCATAAAGACTTATTGAAATGTCCCTACTGAGATGTTAACACAAAACTCTGAGAGGCATGAAAAGAAAGTTATGAAAAGGCGCTTAAAGGTTGACATATATTTTCAGAGTATGTACAGTATGTCTAATGTAGCACACTACAAATAAGTGTTTCTCTATTTATCTCTTTCTCTAGTACTCTTTTTTTTCCCCCTGCACACACACACACACACACACACACACGTGGGTGGAGAAAAATAATATTAACCAATAATATCAGCCTACTGAATATTCCATTTCAGGTCTGATGCAAATAAACAGTTTTTGCAAGGGTGTGAATGCGGTTTCATGTTGTCTTTATATTCACAGTTGATTACTGGTTGATTTTCTAGTCTAAGCACATAGTCTACAGACTGTCTAAACTTATTGTCTGCATTTCACACACACTCAAGGTACGTCATTTGCAGGAAAAGCACACTCATTGAATAAAAACAGTATGAGATCAAGTGTATATTAAGGTATGTATGATCAGTCCTGAACCACACAAGAAGTTCACCCACTTCTTTAAGAAGCTTTATTAATTTTTCATTATTGACAGACCAATCATTCATAGGCTTTAAACACACAGGTGGAGTGCAGGCATAAGGGTGGGGCATGTGGAGGGGCAGATAATAATCATTCATAACTCACAACAATTTTACAAACACAGGGAAAGACGGAAGACTGCTAACACTCAATTTTACCTCTTCCTATTCTTCTCACTGACAGTCACAAAAGATATAAATGAAAAGAAAATAATTATTTGGCAAAAGAAAACATAAAAGACAAACAATTTAGAAATAATAAAGCAATGAACGCACATGCATAAAACAGCTAAAATTAAAACTCAAAACCAAATAATACAAATGAAACATCTAAAGTGTATAAACAATGGCAAAAATAGTGTGGGGTAACTGTGACTCACCAATGCGTGCCTGAGCGAAGGCCTCTGCCAGGGCGGAGGGCTGGGAGTGGGAGTGGGGCGGGTGGGCAGGTGCGGGTGGAGGCGGGACCTGCTGAGACTGAGGCTGAGGAGCCTGGGTGGGCCGAGACTCCCCATGGGAGAGAGTGGAGGAGGCAGAGGACGAGGTGGAGGAGCCGTGCAGAGAGCTATTAATCCAGGTGTCTGGAGACTGCTGAGGCCCTGCACTTTCACTCGACACGGCCTCATCATCAGAGGAAGAGGAGGAATCTGGCAGAGAGAGCAAGAGAAAGACAAGAGAAAATAAATGAAAAGACAAGGAAGAGAATGACAGAATAAGTATAAGAAAAATAATGCTAAGAACTATTTAAGCCTTTTTTTTTCCAATTATTTTTTTCTGAGAATAGTAAATGTGGCTGCCACAATAACAAAATGTTAATACTAGTTCTGTCAAACGATTAATCGCGATTAATCGCATCCAAAATAAAAGTTTTTGTTTACATAATATATGAGTGTGTATATTTATTATGTATATTTAAATACATAATAAAGTATGTAAAGTACAAAAACTTTTATTTTGGATGCGATTAATCGCGATTAATTGTTTGACAGCACTAGTTAATGCCAGTAAAATTTCATAATTATTGCTACAAATTTTAACACCACAGCAAAAACAAAAGTTATGCTAAACATACTGTATTTTTTAAATACATTAATAGATAATAAATATATATTTATAATAAATAGATTCATATATAATAATACTAATAAATTATTTTAATTTACTTTTTTACTTTTTAATTCGTTTTAGGTTTATTCCTTAATATTCATATGTATTATAAATCTGTATTAATATTAACAAATTAAATTAACTCTAATTACATGTTAAAATAAAAAGTACCTTAAATTAAAACTATTTATAAGATTAGACATAAAAATAATTTAATTTAAAAGTAGTAAATGACTAAATGTTCGAAATTGAAAAATACAACATAAAATACGAATTGTATAACTGATCTAACTCATATAATATTCACTACATGATTATTATATAAAATACATAAGGATCAGGATTTAAAGCTCTCAGTTTCACTGAGAAATACCGTTACTTTTGCTATTTTAAACAGGAAAAGTGTAAGATCCTGATTAGCTATACTATTAACTATATAATGATATGTCCTTACTATATGTGGTATGGTTCTGTAAGTTCTTCTCTAGCTCTCTAGTATATTATTGTAATGGTTTATTTGTGCTTGCATATATTACCTGGTGGGGTGCAGTTGTCAATTGGTGACTGTACATATGCAGACCGACGCTTGGTTGGCATGGGCAGTGCCATCTTTTCCTCTTTATGCTTGGCCAACGCTGCCTGAACTGCCTCAGTGTGGATATCTGAGACAAAAAGAAAAAGAAAAAACTAGCTACAGGCCGTTTTTTTTTTTCTTGGGCCTCTGCACTTAGTGAGATGTTAGCAGATGTTTGGTTTTATCCAAGGTGACAGGTACAATCAACCTTGAACATCCTGGGGTTAAATGCTTTGCTCCAGAGTACAAGACTAATTGGAATCTCATTAACTTACTTTCTGTACCTTGATATAAATCAGAAACTTTTGTATATCAGCAAAGTTTCTAAACCAACAGCAGTCGCCCATCAGAGTTTTGGTAATGCCTACATAACAAGGCCCTCAACATAAATTATGCAGTGAAATCAGCTGATTGAATCCACAGAACCGATGAAACTGCTTTCTGACAACAATAGGACAGTAAAATTTATAATCACATCTGTGGCCAGCAACTGAACAAGCAACCTACAATCAAATAAGCAAGCTGCCATCTTTCAATTGCCATAAAGCACCAGAAATCCAAAGTGACACATTTCATCTAGGCAACCATTTTGTCCAAGTATGACTGCCATGGCAGATGACTAAACAGTTCTTACAAGGATGTGGTCAGAGAACAGGCAAATATTACCATCTGCAGACTCTCTGTAAACCTCACAACCCATAAATCTTAAGTAAAGATCAGTCTATGCACGGCTTGCAAATTGGAGTTCTATGTTTTAAAGGTGAAGTGTGTCATTTGTTCAATGTTGAAATACTTTTTAATGTGCAGAGATCACTATAAGTAACCCATATAAGTAAGTTTATAAGTAAGCCGAGCTGTATATCATTACACCGCCATACATCATATTTGCTGAATGAAATATAATACTACTTTCATTCTCATTTTGCAATGCTGCTTCCAAAAAATGCTGCCTGTTTTGCTCTAGCATGTCATACTTTCTCACAAAATATGATGCATTTTGTAGCTCTTTGTTTTCAACAACCATGTTAAGGAAATCTTGTTATGAACTTGTGCTTATGTAAAGTTCTTTGACATTAAATGAAATACTTGAACATATTTTTCCACTCCTTTGCAGATTGTAAGATGCAATGTGATATATTTTGAATACTTCTATTTGTCAGTAAAACGTTTGAATTTTGACTACATATTCTTGTTTTGTGAAAAAAGTACTTAATGGAAAGATTTTTTAGATATATTTTTGAACTCAACATCAAATAAGCAGAATGTTTTTTTCCAAGATAAAGGGCTGTGTTATTTTTGACGTTAGAGGCAAAACATTTATCAGCCCCTATTACGGCTGATAAAATGAATAGTTTTTTTGTCCAGTGGTGCTAAAGGCAAAAACATCACCTTTGAATTTACACAAGACTCACACTATACTGGCTGATAAAATGAAAATGAAATAGAAAATGATTTGTATGTTGTCAGGTTGTTCTAACCTGATCTGTAGCGTTCATCTCTCGTCCCACCGCTCCGGTGTGGACGCCGCGTGTGCCGGTGGCGAGAAGAGGAGGAGGACGAGTTCGAAGGGCCAGGTTCAGGTGCAGAGGCGGAGCTTGGACCAGGAGACTGTGCATCATAGGCAGGAGGTGGAGCTAAATCTGTAGAGACAATGAAGAGACAGTGAACTTCATGCAAACTAGCAGACGCAGTCAATGATTACAGAAAATAGAAGATATGAGTGTGAAGTAGATGTGAAAAGCTTTGGTTTTCATCTCATATCTCTCCAGACAAATCAGCCCAACAAATCCAACATATCTTGCATTAGAGACTGTCAATAAAATAAGAGCAATGCATGCTGCAGTCCAATGCATGAACAGTAGAGGGCAGTGCAGAAGGACTCTAATCTAGATGGAACCCTCCAACCTCAAGAGGAACAGCCTGAGAAGATGTTTCATAACCACATTATCATATGAGTCAGTGGACCACTGAGAAAAACAAGGAGAGAGAGATAATATGGCAGAAAAGGAGATGGAGGGAAGAGGGGGCATAAGCAGAGATATTTCTGTAGTTCTTACTTTGTGTTTGTGTCAAGTAGGGTGCTAAAACCTTGGCCCTCTTCTTCTCGTATCCTTTTTGTGTGATGTCACCTAAAAAAGAGAGATAACATGATTATCAATTAAAAACATGGACAGCATAAATTCAACATTTCATTTGGTCGAACGTTCTTCAAAACAGTAAGATAGATTTTAGTTGGACAAAACACACATCTTTCCACTTCACTTCTGTGTAATATTCAACATGAGGTCGCCTTCCAAAAATTTTTTATACAGTTCAAATGCAAAAACATATATATTTTTTAAATTTTTATAAATTTCTTTTGCATTCATATGTATTATAAATCTGTATTAATATTAACAAATTAAATTAACTCTAATTACATGTTAAAATAAAAAGTACCTTAAATTAAAACTATTTATAAGATTAGACATAAAAATAATTTAATTTAAAAGTAGTAAATGACTAAATGTTCGAAATTGAAAAATACAACATAAAATACGAATTGTATAACTGATCTAACTCATATAATATTCACTACATGATTATTATATAAAATACATAAGGATCAGGATTTAAAGCTCTCAGTTTCACTGAGAAATACCGTTACTTTTGCTATTTTAAACAGGAAAAGTGTAAGATCCTGATTAGCTATACTATTAACTATATGATGATATGTCCTTACTATATGTGGTATGGTTCTGTAAGTTCTTCTCTAGCTCTCTAGTATATTATTGTAATGGTTTATTTGTGCTTGCATATATTACCTGGTGGGGTGCAGTTGTCAATTGGTGACTGTACATATGCAGACCGACGCTTGGTTGGCATGGGCAGTGCCATCTTTTCCTCTTTATGCTTGGCCAACGCTGCCTGAACTGCCTCAGTGTGGATATCTGAGACAAAAAGAAAAAGAAAAAACTAGCTACAGGCCGTTTTTTTTTCTTGGGCCTCTGCACTTAGTGAGATGTTAGCAGATGTTTGGTTTTATCCAAAGTGACAGGTACAATCAACCTTGAACATCCTGGGATTAAATGCTTTGCTCCAGAGTACAAGACTAATTGGAATCTCATTAACTTACTTTCTGTACCTTGATATAAATCAGAAACTTTTGTATATCAGCAAAGTTTCTAAACCAACAGCAGTCGCCCATCAGAGTTTTGGTAATGCCTACATAACAAGGCCCTCAACATAAATTATGCAGTGAAATCAGCTGATTGAATCCACAGAACCGATGAAACTGCTTTCTGACAACAATAGGATTCTTGGGCCTCTGCACTTAGTGAGATGTTAGCAGATGTTTGGTTTTATCCAAGGTGACAGGTACAATCAACCTTGAACATCCTGGGGTTAAATGCTTTGCTCCAGAGTACAAGACTAATTGGAATCTCATTAACTTACTTTCTGTACCTTGATATAAATCAGAAACTTTTGTATATCAGCAAAGTTTCTAAACCAACAGCAGTCGCCCATCAGAGTTTTGGTAATGCCTACATAACAAGGCCCTCAACATAAATTATGCAGTGAAATCAGCTGATTGAATCCACAGAACCGATGAAACTGCTTTCTGACAACAATAGGACAGTAAAATTTATAATCACATCTGTGGCCAGCAACTGAACAAGCAACCTACAATCAAATAAGCAAGCTGCCATCTTGCAATTGCCACAAAGCACCAGAAATCCACAATGACACATTTAATCTAGGCATCCATTTTGTCCAAGTATGACTGCCATGGCAGATGACTAAACAGTTCTTACAAGGATGTGGTCAGAGAACAGGCAAATATTACCATCTGCAGACTCTCTGTAAACCTCACAACCCATAAATCTTAAGTAAAGATCAGTCTATGCACGGCTTGCAAATTGGAGTTCTATGTTTTAAAGGTGAACTGTGTCATTTGTTCAATGTTGAAATACTTTTTAATGTGCAGAGATCACTATAAGTAACCCATATAAGTAAGTTTATAAGTAAGCCGAGCTGTATATCATTACACCGCCATACATCATATTTGCTGAATGAAATATAATACTACTTTCATTCTCATTTTGCAATGCTGCTTCCAAAAAATGCTGCCTGTTTTGCTCTAGCATGTCATACTTTCTCACAAAATATGATGCATTTTGTAGCTCTTTGTTTTCAACAACCATGTTAAGGAAATCTTGTTATGAACTTGTGCTTATGTAAAGTTCTTTGACATTAAATGAAATACTTGAACATATTTTTCCACTCCTTTGCAGATTGTAAGATGCAATGTGATATATTTTGAATACTTCTATTTGTCAGTAAAACGTTTGAATTTTGACTACATATTCTTGTTTTGTGAAAAAAGTACTTAATGGAAAGATTTTTTAGATATATTTTTGAACTCAACATCAAATAAGCAGAATGTTTTTTTCCAAGATAAAGGGCTGTGTTATTTTTGACGTTAGAGGCAAAACATTTATCAGCCCCTATTACGGCTGATAAAATGAATAGTTTTTTTGTCCAGTGGTGCTAAAGGCAAAAACATCACCTTTGAATTTACACAAGACTCACACTATACTGGCTGATAAAATGAAAATGAAATAGAAAATGATTTGTATGTTGTCAGGTTGTTCTAACCTGATCTGTAGCGTTCATCTCTCGTCCCACCGCTCCGGTGTGGACGCCGCGTGTGCCGGTGGCGAGAAGAGGAGGAGGACGAGTTCGAAGGGCCAGGTTCAGGTGCAGAGGCGGAGCTTGGACCAGGAGACTGTGCATCATAGGCAGGAGGTGGAGCTAAATCTGTAGAGACAATGAAGAGACAGTGAACTTCATGCAAACTAGCAGACGCAGTCAATGATTACAGAAAATAGAAGATATGAGTGTGAAGTAGATGTGAAAAGCTTTGGTTTTCATCTCATATCTCTCCAGACAAATCAGCCCAACAAATCCAACATATCTTGCATTAGAGACTGTCAATAAAATAAGAGCAATGCATGCTGCAGTCCAATGCATGAACAGTAGAGGGCAGTGCAGAAGGACTCTAATCTAGATGGAACCCTCCAACCTCAAGAGGAACAGCCTGAGAAGATGTTTCATAACCACATTATCATATGAGTCAGTGGACCACTGAGAAAAACAAGGAGAGAGAGATAATATGGCAGAAAAGGAGATGGAGGGAAGAGGGGGCATAAGCAGAGATATTTCTGTAGTTCTTACTTTGTGTTTGTGTCAAGTAGGGTGCTAAAACCTTGGCCCTCTTCTTCTCGTATCCTTTTTGTGTGATGTCACCTAAAAAAGAGAGATAACATGATTATCAATTAAAAACATGGACAGCATAAATTCAACATTTCATTTGGTCGAACGTTCTTCAAAACAGTAAGATAGATTTTAGTTGGACAAAACACACATCTTTCCACTTCACTTCTGTGTAATATTCAACATGAGGTCGCCTTCCAAAAATTTTTTATACAGTTCAAATGCAAAAATAACTGCATTAGATCACAAAAAAATGACATCAAGTGACATTTGTTTTAAAAAAGGTAACAAAAATACACCTTAAGCTAATTTATTTATAGCTTAAGTGTCAAAATACTATTTTGGGGTCAGTGCATTTCTTTTGTAACCCAACCAAGGGTATGTGTAAGAAAAAGGGAAAGATTTTACTTTTGCATTGTTAAACAGAAACTAGGACTTAAAATAAAATTGTAAATGATTGCCAACATATTAAAATAACTGTGATATACACTAATGTTCAAAAGATTAAAAAAAAGAAAGGAATACTACTCAACACGGATGCATTAAATTGATCAAAAGTGCTTTTACAATGTTATAAAATATTTCTCTTTCTAATAAATGCTGTTCTTTTGAACCTTAATTCATCAAAGAGTTCCAAAAGACATTAAAATTATCACTGTATTTTTTATCAAATAAATTAAGCCTTGTTGAGCATGAGAAAACAAAAAACTTATTTAAAAAAATATTTGACCCTGAACTGTTGAACAGTAGGGTATAGGCATTGGCATTGTAGTAGCAGATTATTAATAATGATAATGCTAAATAATATCTGGTAAAATACGAGTTCAAAGGAACACATTTTAGCTGTTGATGGAGGAGGTTTGAAAACCCTGGTTTAGAGAAACCCAAACACCCAAATCCTAAAAGATCATCACCATCTTACATTCTAACAGCCAAGCTGATTTGAGTGAGTTAGTGCTGGACTCATGTGTGTGCTTGTGAGTGTGAAAAAGAGCAGAATGTGTAATCTAGTGGGATTATGCAGGCTGGAGAGAGCTTTGGTTATGATACGTGAGCAGCTCAAGCTCATTTCAACACATCCCCTGAAGGGGAAATATTTCAAAAGAGATAACACACAATTATTTATTATAGTCCCATAGAAATCAGACTGGCCCGTACGCTTAAGCGTTGACAGTAAGCGGCAGAGATTCATGAGACAGGCCACTAAACAAATCATTCTTTTGAAAGCATTTTCAACATAAAAAATGGGAAAATAGCGAAAGAAGAGTCAACTCCCATAAGTAATGCATGAGGACCGAACCCAGCTGCACCATGGGATATTTTTAGCTTCACCAGACTGTTCTATCACATGTAGCTATGAAGGGGGTTGTGTAAATAGCATGATCCTTTCAGTGTTGTTCAGAAAGAGTGGTTTTGAACTGCAGTAAATGAATGTCAACTTTCAAGACAAGTCATTGTGCTTTTGTAAGTCAACCGCAAACTAGAAGGTTTTAATTGGTGGCCTAAGGTGGTCCAGTCCACACTGAGGCTCAGATGGATTGTGGTTGGTTGTTGGGAGAATGATGATGATGAGAAGTGAGTGACAACAGACTGAGGCAGAAATCTACATTAAGCCTTGACCACTCACTCACACACATGACATGACATGACCTAAAATTAGACATCAACACACACTGTCAGTCTATGAATCAGTAACCTGTAACATTTATGCTACAATCCCACCTTAGAATCTCACTTCCACAAATTATAGATCTTAAAAATCATCGAAATTTGGAATTGCATTACTGTCTTTCAGTTTAATACAGTACAATTACCCATTCTAAACCATATAACCTGCTATCTAATGTCTGAGCAATAATCTTAACCTGTAATCTAGACATTATGCCTGAAATCAAACCTTAATTAGTTCTCCCTCAAAGTTCTACCTCAAAGTTAACTCTTTTAAATTCACATTCCTAAACTGTAATTCAAATATACTAACCTGTCCTGAAAGGTAAATTATTCCAGGACTTAAAGCCAAACTGGTCTGACATCCAAATCTTATTTTTTTTAACTAGTATCAATGCAACAAATCCACTCTATAATCCAATATTTATCATAAAAATCTAATCCAAATACTTTTCTAATATGGACCCTTAGTCTGAATTGAGCTGATATCAGAACATCAAGAGAAAAATCTTTTTAATCGTGACAGCACTGTAATCTTGTATTTGCAAGCAATTATGGGCAAAACACCTATGACAAGTGACCTTTTTCAGTACAGCACTTTTTTTCCATGATTTAGTTTATGCATACATAAACATCTACTGGCATGCGTGCATACACACATACAAACACGTGGGGATTTTCTTGGCCCTGAGAGAAAGGAGGTGAGGGAGGACAGCACTCCTTTAAGAGATAAAGCTACATGAGCATTACAGTTTGACTGCATTAGCAAAACAGAAATGATTAGAGATAATCTTAAAAAAGTTCCTCCGGCAACCTACAAGTGACTTCAATTTAAAATTGACATTTTACATGCATATTCATATTAACAGAGAGATTAAATGGAATAATAATGACTTTATAATAAATAAATAAATAAATAAATAAATAAACCCAGTCCTATTTACCAAATGTGTGGTCACTAAGATTTTATGCTTTTGAAAGAAGTCTCTTTTGCTCAGCAAGGCTGCATTTATTTGCTTAAAAAAACAGTAAAATTATAACTTTGTAAAATATTAATAATTTATAATTGTACAATTTAAAATAATTCTTTGCTATTTTAAAATATTTTAAAATGTGATTTATTCCTGTGATGCAAATTCTTGATGTTGCAAAAAACAAAAAAACTTGTTGGTGTTAATGGTTTCACATTATGCATTTTCTGTAAAGGTAATTACAATAGGACAGAACCATCTAATCCCTCAGTGGCTTTCTGTACAACAGACATGCACACCAGCTGCTCGGATTGTGGGAAAGTTGGATCTGGAACAGGAATATGTGTGTCTCGCTGACTAGAGTGTGTGTATGAGGGAAAGAGAGAGATGGACAAACATCTTTTTTTAATTGACTGTGAGAGAATTTGTCTTGTTCTTTAGAAAAGCATTAACTTTCCCTGAATACAATGTTTTCAGATACTCATATCCACCCTCCCTCCGGTGTGCTGCATCACTGGCCCTGAAACACTATGACACCACAGAGTGCTCACAATGACTTTCACTCAAGACATAATACAGCTATCTCTCCATTGTGTCCCTACACACACACACACACACACACACACACACATACAGCCTTGGTTACCCACCACCAGATGGTGACTCACCATTCAGCAACTGCCAACACTGTATCACACTGTACTGAAGTTGAATTTCATTGCCCTCCTTCACTGTTCTTTTGTCCACATCCAACATTCTGTCTTTCCTTACACACACACACACACACACATTTCCTTTTCCTCTGGATGATGTCATGTTCTCCAGTGCTAAATCTTCTAGCCTATGACATGGTTTCCAGTTCTGCTGAGAATATAAAAACAGACTGTGAGAGACAGGGAGAAACACATTTCCTTTTCCTCTGGATGATGTCATGTTCTCCAGTGCTAAATCTTCTAGCCTATGACATGGTTTCCTGTTCTGCTGAGAATATAAAAACAGACTGTGAGAGACAGGGAGAAACGCAGACAGACAAGAGAGTGACAGTGAAAAAGACACAACAGGGAGTTCAATTCATTCTTATCTGTTCATGGCTCTTTCTGTATCATACAGCCAGATCCACAAACCGGCTTTGAAAACCTGCTCATGGAAACAGTAAAGTCAGGGTTACCAGGGTGTGTGCATGCAGGTGACAACAAGACTCAAATTACCACTTTACACACCTGAGAACATGCCTTGTCAGGTGTAACCTTCCTAATTCACTTTGTAACACAGTATATATGGGGATGATCTGACCTGTGTCTACAGTGTGCTTCACCGTGTGCAACTGCAAGTGTAAATGTTGTCAAACTTTATCATGAAGAGGTGTCCAGATCACTCAAAACCAAAATAAAATAAAGTTTAAAACCCTAAAAAGCTTTTAGGACCCTTACCATTTTTTATGTTATTTTTGTTAAAATAATGACAATTTTTAGGGACAATTTTACTCAATATCAATCTCAATTTATTCAATTCTCATTAGAGTCTGAATTCAGAGTCTCATTCTCACTAGGGCTGTGCAAATAATCAAATGCGATTTTCATGTGCATCTCGTCAGTAATGCCGGTTCTGTGATTAGTAGTAAATCTCCAGCACGTGCGTTCAGATGGAACGGCATTTACTACACAGAGCCGTAGTTCACTGACAAGCTACGCAATATCGCGTTCATAATCGGCAATGAATAGCCTGCGATTTTGAACACGATATTGCGTAGCTTGTCAGTGAACTACGGCTCTGTATAGTAAATGCTGCTTCATCTTAACCCTGCCCTAATTCTCACTATTGTAACATGAAAAAAAGAAAATATATATTTTATATAAAAAACTGTTTTTATTATTACATTTGTTGTACTGCATCTAACAGTAAAAAAGTGATCATAAATAATAATTTCAGTATTATTTTAATAATACTGACAAATTAAATTATAAGAAACAAGAATTAGGGGGTGAATGTTTAATTGTACTGAAAATAAATGTCACAAAAAAAACTACTGGACCTAGTCAGACGACCACCGGGACAAGACCACAGGAACCAGATGAGTCCTCTGCACAATGTGACTTTGCTGCAGCCTGGAATTGAACTGCTGGTTTCGTCTGGTCAGAAGAGAACTGGCCCCCCGACTGAGCCTGGTTTCTCCCAAGGTTTTTTCTCCATTCTGTCACGATGGAGTTTTGGTTCCTTGCCGCTGTCGCCTCTGGCTTGCTTAGTTGGGGACACTTCATTTCCAGCGATATCGTTGACTTGATTGCAAATGATTGCAAAGATACTATTTAAACTGAACTGAGCTGGATGATGACATCACTGAATTCAATGATGAACTGTCTTTAACTGAAAAATGAGTGTTTACTATTGTCATTT